AAAAACAATTACATAACATTTCAGTGCTCAAATAGCCCTTTCTTCAGCCACCACGAGCTTCCCTTCTGGTGGCATCATGCAGCAGTTCAACGTCCACTCCCTCTGGGGGTAGTTGCACATATCTCACGACTGATCCCCTAATAAAACAGTTCCTCACTGACAACTGCAAAAATACATTATCGTCCGGTTGTCAGATTGGAAGGCTAACATGATATTAAAGAGCAAGTTCAATTTCAATTTCCATAATGAGTTATTTATGCATAACAGGGGTAGAAAACACAACCAGCGGATAAGATCAACAACAACAACCAACAGACCTAAACAAAGCATACACAAGAGTCTGAGGACATATAAAAGGTGAAAAACCAAGCAAATAATTGTTGGTCATGAGACCTGATGACCCGTGATTTTACCCCACAACAACAACAATCACCCCCCCACCCCCAAAAAAAAAATTAAAAAAGACCCCTGGAATTCATTTTAGATTGGTAACAGTTATAAGGCAGTCTCTATCATACAGAGTTGACACAGGTGATCCTTCCATCACAAGACTCACGGTGAGCATTCATATCACAAAATCCATAAAATATAAAGCTCACTTACATGTCAAATTCAAATCAATAATAAGTATATGCTCTGCATAGTTTTAAAGTAATAGAAGTGAAAACCCCCAAAACTAGAGTACAACACATTAATTTCAAATACATTTAATCCTTTCAAGCTACTCAAGTGCCAGCATAATCCCATCAAAACACAAACAAATCATATTTGATTAGCAAATTTTGTCACTATTCACTGGAAGTAAACATGTGTTAATTTGGAATCATCAATATAAGTGGTGGAAGCAGCCATTCCAGCTCACACGAAATATTCAGTTCTTCCCATTGCAATTGGACAAGTCAAAAGAACACCCCCATGCAGTGGTTCCAAGCTTTTTTTTTCAAGACTTCCTCCACATATGATTCTTTCAGAGTGGATCTAAAAGGATAGCATTTTGGATGAACGAGGAAGAAAATCTTATTTCTCCATTCCCTTGAAAGATTCTTTCCCATGACATAAGTTCAGTTTTATGACAGGATTTCTACTGCAAGTTGAAATTTGTGAAAGAAACCCTAACAGTATAACTAAGCTACAATATGCCTGTTAGTAAGCAGGTCAGACTTGAGAACTTGATTTTGCCTCTTTCGGCAGGCAACAATATGAGAGAGAAATAAATTTAACAGAGTTTTCTTGTAGAGGAAGATCAAGGGCCCTGCACCTTTCTTATTACACAAACACACATACCAGTGGGTGGTTAAACCTGGCTTCATTTTTCCTTCTTTATGATGATGCAGAGAACTGGGAAAGTCTTTTTCAAATTTTTTTAGAAGAAGAAAGTCTTTTTCAACTCAAACAAGCCTTTATTGGAAAAACAAAATATATGCTTCTTTCCAGGAACTGGCTTGGGCTTGGGGGTCCTCAATATCAATTTTCATCTTCTACTAAGAACTATTCATTATCATATTCTCCATAAAATCTCTAAAACTATATAATTTATCATTGGTTCTATGATATCCATGCCCTTTTAGTTGTACTGTTACCCTTTCTTGCAGCGTTAACTTGAGTAAACTAAGTTTTAGAAACCTTCAAACAGTTAACAAAACAAAACCATGCCAGATGACTATCTCTCATTTTCTCTTCATTTTTTTGTCCTATCTAGCTTATTGAATAGTGTTCTATAATGCCTTATAGTGGTCTTTCATAACTTTCCCTTCCACGTCATACATATTCTATGAATCATACTTCTCCACATTCAACTCATCCCTTTTCTCTATCTTTGCTTTATAATCCAATTAACTAACATCACATAATGAACCAAAATGCCCCACCTAGCCTTTCGCATTGGAAATTCAAATACCCACCCATCAATAAATATTCTGCTTATGATCACTCTGGATTCGGCACATATCCAAGAAAATGGCCTATCACTATAACTACTGTTATTCATCTGCTATTAGAACCGAGTTAATTATGATAAATTCTAGAAACTAAAAAGATGGGCAAATTGTCAAAACGAAACCACAGAAAATAGACCAAGATTTTTTTTATTTTTTAAAAAGAGCTATTATTAACCAAAACCCTAACTTTTTATCACAAAGGATTATCCCCTCAAAATACTAAACCCTAGAAACCAAGTATACAACACACAGGCACACACATGTACACAGAAGAGTCAAAATTTAAGAAAGAGACGATACATACCATGTGCGGGTACTTCTCTTGGTCGACGACCCTTGTGTTCTCTAGCTTTATGTTGAGGTACTGATCCACTGAGTGCAGAGTTCCTCTGATTGCAAGATCATTCTTCAGCTCCACTGTCACTTCTCTGCCCACCAACTCCTTGAAATACGAGAAGAACAACTGCACACACGCACGAACAAAAAAAAACCCAGTTGAAATTATGGGTTGCAGGGAAAATTCAAAGAAAATCTGCAAGAAAATACAAATAGAAAATATGGGGGAAACCCCATTATGAAAAAGTTCCTGTAGAAGAAACTGGGAATTGAAAGTTACCATTTTTATGCACGAGATGAGAGAGAGAGAGAGAGAGAAAGAAGGAGATGGTGAGCCCCTTTGGGTTCTCTAGGATTGAAGTTGGGGACTGGAGCTTGTTCACAACTGAAGAGTAACACGAAGAAAAAAGGGTAGAGGTGGAATGCGGAGTGGCACAGAGAAAAATTTTGCCGCTACAGGCTAGTTGGATTTGGGGTTTCTAGATTTGAGCCTTATTGGAGTTAGCAAGGCCCTTCCTAGGCTTAATCTCTTTTTGGGCCTTGGTCCCCTCATACAAAGATGGGTCCAAATGTTTTCGGTTTGAAATCGAACGATAAAAAGTTAGGAGTTTTTTCAAATGGTTGCAATGGTCTAATTAGATTCAACGGAAGGGATGAAAAGCCAAATTCACATCTACAATTTTACATTCGGTTGAAGCAAAAATCACATTCATATCTCTCGGAGATGTAAATAAGATGTAAATAGAATGTAGAAATGTATTTACATCTCTAAATTTATATGTTGTATTAGACATGTTCTTATTAGGTTTTTAACTTTTCAAATTGGAGTCGAAAACTAAATGGGCTTAGGGTTAAAGTATGTCACTGTCTTAGTTGATGAAAAAAATTATGAACTAGCCTAGAGCATATATGCTTCCCATTTTGCATCCAAGTTTGAATTCCCTTTACCCAACGAATATTGTTTGTATAAAAAAATATATATAAGGTAGGTAATAAGTTTGGATTATAGGTACAATGTTCAATTTCCTTCCAATTTCTCACTTACTCTCAAATATCTCTTGGTATATATTTTCTATATCTTATTACGTGTCTATCCTATTCCTCAAATATAGGGTTTGCGAGATGAGGGCAGTGTCCATGAATTAAGCGATTCCAAAGGTGACAGTGACGGAGGAAGGGAAGGAGTGCTGTATCTGCTTGAGAGACCTGAAGGTGGGCGCTGGGGCCATGGAGATGCCTTGCAAGCACAAGTTTCACTCGCCTTGTCTCGAAACGTAGCTGCTCAAGCATGCCTCCTGCCCACTTTGCAGGTCCGCCATGCCCGTACAAGAGGAAGCTCAGACCACCGACATGGTTAAGGGGACAGCTTCAGAGCAGCATGGTCATGAAGAAGATATGGATTACCGTAACATGATGAGGTAGATGTTTAAATACAAACCCAGAATAAGACCATACGACTACATGTTGTATGGTTTATGAGGGACACGGTAAGGCAATATTTTTATAGTGGATATTTACTCATGAAGATGATTAGGTTTAGGGTTTCTGAGGGGAATGCTAAGGCAATATTTTGGTGAAGATAGGGATTTTTGGAGCATCCGTTGGTCGCAGACTAGACGGCATCAGATGTAACAGGTAGTTAAGTTTTCATTCTTAGATAATAAGATTGTTTTTTGCCACACTTGAGTTCTAGATCGGATTTGATTATTATTATTATAATGACTTCTTTATTTTTCCTATCAGCATTCATAGATTTTCAGTATACTTTGACATGGATAAAATAGATTTTGAGTATACTTTGACACATGTAAAGCAAACTTTTTATCACTCGGTTTCGATTCACTTAATTAGGAGACAATCTTGAGGCAACCCAATATAATACTCTCCCTTTCCCCCTCCTTAGCGAATGACAAAAAAAAAAAAAAAAAAATTTCTTAACCACTTGAGCTAAGTATTAATTATGTAATATTTTTGGCATTTGGCTAATTCAGAGGCGGCCCATGGGGTGTGCGAGCTGTGCGACCGCACAGGGCCCCCAAAATTTAAGGGCCCCAAATTTTTCAGAGTCAACGCATTCAATTAATTAAAACATGAAAATAAAAATGAAATATTAAATATCACCCCACAACGCCACATGCATGGCCCCAAAACCAAAACCAAAATTGAATTGAATATTAATTATCAACAACTTCCACGACTTAGAGAGTAGAGGCCCTAATTTAATTCGTTTTCCTCTTCTCATTATAATATTCTTTTCTCTTTCGGTAAGTCTCTCTCACTCTCCTCCATCAAAATAAATCCTTTTCTCTTCAGTACCAGTGTACCACCCTCTTCCATCAAATTTTGGATTGTAAAAACCCAAGCTTTAGCCCTTTCCCCAAAATCACAATTCTTTTCTCCCTCCCTCATTCACATGAGAATTCAACGAGCATTGAAATTGGAAAATCAATTTATCAGCTATGTGATTTGGAAGAGTGACTAAACAAATTTTTCTGGGAAGCTCTTCCAAAGGTGTTCTTCCCGTGTCGGAAAATTTTGTTTCTATATGGATTTTTTTCTCCTACTTGTATATGTAGGGCCTCCAAAATCAATGGACTGGCTCGGCTCTGGGCTAATTATTTCGTTCTTCATTTAACCTTAGACAAAATTCTGAACTGATGGTTAAGTTTACTTGCTTACTCTAATTCATATAGTTCTTAAAAGCAAAATAGAAAATATTTCATTTTATTTAGAAAACTAGGGACAGGAAATTGTAATTTGTAACATGAAGATCATACATTTATTCCTAGATATATATGCTCTCTTAGCTATGAATCTCAAACTTTTTCCTAAGCTCCAAAAGGAAGTCATACATTTTGTACTGATCAGGCAGAGACTTGGACACACTCTCCCTCTGCATGCACCTCTTAGCCCAAGCCACAAGCCTTGGACACTCCTTCACCATGCACAGGTTTCCACAGGTCTCTAGCGCATAGAACCAGCTATAGAAAGGGATAAGTGCCACGTCCACTACGCCAAGGCTCTCACCCCCAAAGTAGGTCTTGTCTCCCAACTCATTTTCCAACAGCTTGAAGCACTCTATCAGTTCCTTCTTTGCTGCTTCTTGGATTTCACCACTTGTTCCCCAAACCAACTTTCCTGTAGAATAAATCTGCAACAAGAAAGAAAACCCAGTTTGAAAACATAGTTAAAAAGTTTAACCCGTGCGGGTTGCATGTAAGAGCCAAGTATTTTTCTTTTCGTAAAAGAAAGTAAATAAATTACGTAAGGGATGGAAATTGACAGACCTTCTTGTCAACATAGTCAGCCCAGAACCTGGCATGGGCTCTATGATAAGGAACAGAAGGCAGCAGAGGAGCTTTCTGATTCCAAACCTCATCAATGTATTGAACAATGATGAGGGATTCGCATACGGGTCTTCCCTTGTGGATCAGGACTGGGATTTGCTTGTGAACCGGGTTCATCTTGAGAAGCAGAGGGCTCTTGTTGCTCAGATCTTCTTCCCTGGGTTCATAGTCGATGCCCTTCTCTGCCAAGGCGATCCTCACTCTCATCCCAAATGGGCTTGGCCAGAAATCCAATAAAACCACTTCGTCTGCCATTGCTCGCTACTTCTTGAGAGTCTCTGCTTGCCTTTTGGTACTTCTCTTTCAATGCTCTCTCTGTGCAACAAAGCCAAAGCAAGTGTGAGTTTATTTATACATGGCATGGGTCGAGAGAGTTGTAGAATTTTCTTTGGGTTGGTTTGTCTAGGCTCTTCCCCTGTCTTATCACTGCTTGCGTAAGAACCACATAGGCATAGCTAGTATTTTCCAGAGCCGACGACACATAATTCACATAAGTCCTGCCTCACAAAGAGAGAATCGGAATGTTTTACCATCTATCCCAATGGAATTTGTTTTTTTATTTATTATACAAGCAATCTTAGTTGGACTCAAATACATGATCGAACCTACAAATTCAAGTGCAAAGGTAAATGCTCTCAACCACGTGAACTACAAGCCTCTTGCTATCAAAAATTGAATCTTTAAGAACCCGTTTAACACATAATTGAAGAGAATACTAGAATTAAACTAATAATTAAAAAATCTTAAAATTACTTTATTTCTATTTTTTTTTTCTTCCTCTTAAAGAAATAAAATAAATATAAACATTGCAATCGAATGGTAAACTTGCAGCGTACACCAACAAATAACTTGTTCCAAGTAATAATAAAGTAAAGAAACCACCAACAAAGTCATTAAAAAAACGTGAACAGAAAAGGTCTAACTATTTTAGATGGTTGAACTCAATTATCCATGTTTCTCTAACTACCGGATCACATTTTGAAGAAGAAAACAGTGATGATCCATAACAATGAGGGCTAAATACTGATTATACTGCCAAAAGGATATCGTACATAATGAATAGAATTCTTGACTTTGTTCTCTGCCCAAAACCAACTACACAGCCTCAAAGGACGAAAAAATTTCGGCAAGATTTGAATCACCACTTTCATCTCAACTTGACAAGATGCATCTACAAAAGTATATCGCCGTTGGCAAACCATGACCGCTGACACCAGCACTTGCTGAAGAAGAGCTCAGTTTATATCATAATCCTCTCCTTGCTCGGGTGATATCTTCAACACCACAACAGGATTTATACAATTCACACACCAATTCCCGCCAGCTAACACTGAAAATGTATATCAAAGAAATTATTCGATAAAAGGCTGTCATGCCACCAGCCTATTTCTCATTCAAACATCTTGATAGTAAAAGGTTCCTTTCACATACCGTGTTCGGAGTTGACAAAGCACCAAATTAATGTCACTATTTTTGGCTAAATGATCGAATACGGTTGACCAAGTCCGCTCTCAAGGACTCGGGTATTTGTGAAAGAAAAGCTGATTTGGAATCCACGATCAACAACTTCCTGCAATGCATAAGTATAGACAGATGGATGTTTCAGATTAATGCATGTACTAACACAATTTAAATACCTGATCAATTACCAACTATGTTATGTCCCGACCAATTAATACAAGTAAATGTAATTGAGAATATAAAACACAGATAACTAGAGGACTAAATAAACAGTATTAAAATTCAGAAAGTAATGAGTTCAACTCAATAACTGGGTAAAGCAAAATATAAATCATTGCAAGAAGTTAATTTACCCAAAAAAATAAAGTTGAAAAAAGTTGTGCTGTGCGTCCTTGTTAGACTTACCTAGATATCTCAAGAGTTATATAGGAAATGTAAAAGGCCTCTTAGATACATGAATATTGTCGTGGGTAACCAAGTAATCTCCTAACAGTGTCTGACTCGTTCATGCATGCTTATTTAACATGTCACTAATGTTCCAATATGTTATGGGTAGAGAGAGGGAAACCGAAGTTTAATCAGGAAAAAGAAATATTCCCTACAGATATTCTAGCTTCCACCAAGCATTTAGGGTGGTAAAATTGAGCGTGTCCATGATTAGCAACGTTGAAGTGACTTTTTTGCTCCTAATTAGTGATTCTCAGGATAAACATTATCAACTAACAATGGATGGATGAAATGGTATAAAGGGGACAATACAAGAGAGAATGTTTTCCTAGGGATTCAATCAACTAAGGGTAACAGAAGCAGAATCACGAAACGTCACTAATTGTTGACAATCTCACTCAAATCAGCAAGCCAAATGCTAGATAAAGTGAGAATACTTGCAGAGAATTTTTCACTAAAGAAGCATACATATACTCAATTAAAGAGCTAAAATTTAATTTAATTTTTTCTTTTTTAAATTGATGAAATTCAGCACTATGAAGGCTAAACTGCAGACGTCTAGAGAGAAGCTTTCATCAGGATAAAAGACACACACCCACCCAATCGAATTCTATCACAGTTCATAAACAACATGGACTGGCCATATGTATAACTCAAAAACCTTGAAAAGAATTTATACAATGAAGTTTAAAGAACCAACAAGTTTCCTACATACCAATGTTAAAATGGAAAAATAACACTTACTTCACTTCATCACTGTTCGGATCGGTTCCAACTTGCTGTGCACATAACCTTTTCTTTGAACGCATAAAACTGTGCACTTTATCTGACCAGCCACATGATCGCAAAACTGAAGAAGCTTCTTTCTTGAGACTAATAAAAACATTATTAAAAAAAGTGTTAAAATCAATAGAATATATAACCAAAAAAAAATTGAAAACAAACTATTGAATGGCATGAAGCAAATTATGAAAATTATTTTTTGACGCAATAAACTCGTGTTACAGGTGTCCGCAAAAAAAAAAACTCAAGTTTACAGGCAACCGAAACATGTAAAGAAGAAAACACAGAAACAATAATTAATTGCATGCATCATGGAAGAAAACCTATGAGCCTGAAATCTGCAATATAAAACAAACTGGGCAAGTCCAGATGTCACAGAGGAGGGAAAATTATATGAGACCAACGAAGTTATTAAGCAGAAACAATAAACTAGGGGTACGCATAAAAAAGAAACAATCAATAAAGAGTACCAAGTAGACACAATCATTCAAAGCATGTCAGTCATTAGAAAAATCCAAGTATATGGGCTATGAACTCATATCAATACTTCTATGAACTCATATCAATACTTCTAAACCTAAAACAACAAACATAAAATTCATCACTTGGGGAATAGACATTCTTTTGGCAGGGCAGGGGAGGACACGTGGGGATATGGAAGACAGATGTATGCCTGAACTGGAGATATGGGATCATTAAGATAACTAATCCAGAAGACTATGCAATTCATAACAAACAAATCTTAAGCCACATTTCAACACCAGATCCTAATCAAGATAAGTTACTACAGAGTGGGATTTCATTTCAATTGAATGTTGTAGAGTGCCACATACATTTCCTTCAGTCCTTCAACTTCTGCCCGGGATTGATCATCACGTGCAAACAAAATGCATGAATCCTGAGATTTTCTTTTGGGCCCAGAGACCCCAGAGTGGCCATGGAGATCACTATTATCCAATTCACTGTGATCAGGCACTTCCCCTGCTGTCAACCTGTCTCGTGTACCAATACCTTCACAGAGTTCAGTTTTTACTGAACCAGTACCACCATTTTCTCGTGATAACAAAGAAGCTTTGCTACTGTTACCACCAATAATATCAGACTTTTTATCTCTGTGTAAACCATCCTTGTTTATCAAAGATGTCTTAGCTTTCTCACGTTTCTCCAAACTAACTGGGTCCTTCACCTCTCCATTCAATCCTATGGACTGATTCTCGTAAGCAATTTTTCCATTATCAGTTGCAGGTGCTCTTTCACCATTTGATTCTAAAGATAGATTCTTGTGAGCAATTTTTCCATTATCAGTAGGAGGAGTTCTTTCCCCATCTGATCGAAATGATTCATCCTTATAAGCAATTTTTCCATTATCAGTTGCACGAGGTCTTTCCCCATTTGATCCTAAGGATTGATTTTTGTGAGCAACTTTTCCATTATCAGTTCCAGGAGCTCTTTCCCCGTTTGATCCTAAGGATTGATTCTTGCAAGCAAATTTTCCATTATTAGTTGCAGGAGCTCTTTTGGTGCTAGAATTTCCACTGATATTAAACTTCATCCGTGGGCTAGAAGGCGCTTTATCAACCTTAGATATGGCTGAGATATCCTTCCAAGAAGACTGTTCATAAGGTTTTGTTTGTGCTCCTTTCGGTGGAAGAGCAGGCTTTGGGCTTTTAGATGTTTCATGGCCATTACAATCACGAGAACTCACCCCATTGGAAGCAGTGCTAGCTGCTGGCCTTTGGTTGGTACGAGAGAAGAAAAGGATGTAAACCTTTTCAGATAATACCTCTTGCAAGGTGGAAAGCGAGACAAATGAATCATTGCAGCGATACCACCGACCCATGGCATCCTGTAGATTATGAAAAAAATAAGATTAGCATTTAGTTGATAATATATGCGTTCCAAATTTACTGATTGCAGGGAAGGTGATAGGTGAACAGAGACCTTAATATATGCATAATAGTGACCAGACTCTGGTGAGAAGCCTGAATGCACAATAGTACCAAAAAGCTTATAATCAGGCCGCAGATCCTGCATTGCAGTTAAAAATTCAACAGCATTACTAGTAGGAAAGAAATTGTCTGCAACATCTCCCAAATATAAAAGGAATAAGTAGAAACAAAAAGAAGTCTCATGAGACTGGAGTCAAAAAAACGCCTGCATTAGCATAAACCAATGTTTCTAAGAAGTTAAAGAAAGAATCTGGAGAAAAGTAACATTCTTATCAGATATCAAGAACTGGACTGCCTCATATTGAAGTGCAAGAAAGGAGATACACAACAAATGAACCTACAAAGTAAGTAATAACATTTCCAAATGAATATACAACAAACTAACGTGCATTTGATATGCAAGAAAAAATACAAAGATCATGATGCATCTGCATCGTAAATTACCAAATAAAGTACAAAACACATATCAGGACGATTCATTTACTAGAATCCAACAAACAATGCATTTTATTTCTCCAGTGATGCACCGTCACAGCCTTGTTAAAGTACAATAAAGAACATGAAGCTGAAAAAGTCGAATTTTGCACAGAGAGAAGCAGATATGTTGGATATACAAGTCAACTCAACGAAGCCTTAATCCTACTATGTGAATAATTAGTTGAATATCTCTTGTTCAAATTTTTTAATCCCTTTATATGGTCTTTTCTGGCTCCCGTTTCTAGCACTACATTTTTCTTTTGTGAAACATAGCTCCCTATTTAATCAACCAAGATAATGAATTGGAGATTCCTTTTCCAACCAAGTCAACTCCCATATTCACGCTTGATATGCAGATTGAAAATATAATAATTAAAATTGCAGCACCATCCATACTATATTAGTATATTGTGATCACTTTAACAAGACAATAAATAAAACAATGTACATG